TTTGGGAACATTTGGAATAAAAACAAAAAAATACAACCACGTAAACAATGACTTCTGATGCAGCATGCCCAGTTGCCTAGCAACAGGTATTGTTTACACAGATTTTAATGTGGTAAATTATGTAAAAATAATGCCAAGCACTACAAGATGTACTTTAATTTTGTTAAAATAAAAGTTATTTTTGATGCACTTTTAAGTAAAATAACGAGGGGCTGATGCTGAGTCCTGCCTCTGCTCTCTTCCTCTACAGGCCTACTCCATGCCCATATACCCACCATACCTGTACCTCGTCCCCCTGCAGCAGGCCCATGCCATGCAGCCCAAGCCATCTTCCCGTTCCCCGTCCCCACAGTGCCTTCCCTCTAACACCCCCAGCAACACCCCCACCAACCCGCAGGAGGGCTATCCGCCTCACCAGTACCCTCCCACTGTAGCACCGGTGCCCTCTCAATATGACAACCAGGCTGCGCTCGATGAGCCCCCCGGTCCGGCTGAACCCTCCTTCAACCAGGCCAGGTACCCCATCACCCAGCCACAACCCCCCAGGATGCCATGGCAACAGATGCCTGCACGAAACCCAAGCTACTCAGTTGGGTATCTTTCCCCACCTCCACCGTACTCGGGTCCCCTGCCTTCATCTCAGGGTTACCACCCAAATCAGGGCGCGGGGGTCCCGGTGTACCCCACAGCCATGGGTCCGTACAGCCCCTCCTCTCTGGCATATCAAACTGCATCCACCCACCAGGAGCTCCAGGTGAGCCAGGGGGCGATGCAGCAGCACCAGCTTCAGGCAATCAACGGGGACACGATGCCTGGCCACGGGAACATCCACATCTCCAGTCCTCTGGAGAGCGCCGCTGCGTCTAACATTCCCACTACCAACAGTAACCGATCAGTGATGGTCCCATCCAATTATAGTAAGCAGGAATTCTGGGAGATGAAGTCCTTACATTTCAAAGTGTTATGGCTTTCTTTTAACTGTCAGGTGGAAAATTTTTTAATTCATTTTGTTTTCCTGATAGGCTTCAAGAGAGATCCGGGGGAGAGTTTGCCACGAGCAGTGCTCCTGGTGGATCCGCCACTTAACGACATGCCCATAGTACGTATATTTCTGAGCAACTTGATAACCTAATCAAATTAACTTCGAGTTTTGATTTTGAAACTAATATCTAATAAGTAGTTAGAAGTGGCTTTTATCTTTAAAAGATCACTGAAAGGCATCCTTCAATTTCCTGTAAGCAGGTGTTGGCTTTTATTATGGAAATCTGACAGTTTCCATAATGTGTCACATTTCTGAACTCCCTGGTAGCTTTTCATAACAAAGTGATTTGTTTTAAAAGTTGTTACGTCAAATAATCTTGATGAGATCTTAAGAAATTGAGATCCCATCAATTGAGATCCCCCCCCCCACTAAAACCCATCCTTTAACATCCTGTTAACTAACTGGCTCTTAGTATGTAAATCTGAGTGTTTAAAGAAACCAGTTAAATTTCTCTACCCTGTGGCTTTTATTAGAGAAAGTCTGACATTCCAGAGTGTCCTGGTAGCTTTTTATTACTAGGTGTTTTATTTTGAAAGTCATGCTGCATCATATCCTCTTCAGAATCAGAATCAGAATACTTTATTGATCCCTGGGGGAAATTATTTTTTGTTACTTGTAACAGGACCTCCTTCTGTCTCGCTCTCAGGTTGCTCTGCTTTCTGATCCGCACTTTAAGGACATCTCCATGGGAGCTATGAAAGGCAGCAGCAGCAGCCCCGGCTCTCCGTCGCAATACCGTCCCCGGAAACCAGTCCATGCCACCAACGTGTATGAACAGAGCCAGAGGGGCAGCTACATGAAGCCTGTCACCATGACGGACAATCATTCTGTGGGCTGCAGCACGGAGGATGACTGGGAGGAGGTGGAGGGGTTTAAAACGATGGTGCCAAACTACAGAGGGCAGAGGAGGCCCTACAGAGGAAGAGGAGGGAGAGGAGGCAGAGGAAGGGGTGGCTATGATCCAACCAGGGACGTGTACAGGAGTAGACAGGAAAGAGATATGGGGGTAGGGTATAACTATATTCAGCCTAACCCTGCCCACATGGGATGGGCTCGCGAGAAACGGTATTAGCTCTGAGCCAATGAGAGAAGAGGACACAGGTGGTGATTTTTTTTTTTTCTTTCTTTCTTTTGCTTTTTTCTGGAGATCTGATTGGTGTAGACCGGCAGCCATGGAAATGCAGTGTGGACCCGAGTCGGAAAATCTAAAACTCCATTTGTGTTTTGCTGCCTCTAAATCAACAAGCTTATTGCTTTGTATCAAAACATAAACACTATCCTCCTCTTTTCTTTTAAGTGCATTAGCATAGCATGTTAGCACTATTTCTTATCACTCAGACGAATGGATTCAATGAATGTCGAGCTCAAAGTTTGTTTACGAGGATTGTGAATGATTTAAAAAAGTTACCCACTGTGTTGACATGATGAATGTATGGGTTTCTTTACTGGTTGTGTTTGAGATTTTGGGAAATATGTTTATTAGCTTTCTTGCCTGAGAGGAAACGCTTTCATGTCTGTGGCAGTTTAGCTTAGCTTAGCATAAAGCAACGGAAAATCAGCGAAGACTTTGTTTTTTTTAATGTAGCAAAATGCTACTCAATCTAATGACACTGGCATAGAACAATACTCATTTCATAAAGATATATAGTAAAATAGGCATAAATTACCATTGCTATATAAATACATTTTAGTAACTCTCTTAAAACCATACTCTCCCCTCTATTTCTATTATCACAGTTTAATGCTAGCAGCGGGAAATCAGTTATGACTGTAAAGTATAATTTTCTATGATCTATAAAAAAAAAACAACTCATAAAACCATACTCTCACTTGTACATATAGTTATTTAGCACAGCTTAGCAAAGCTTGTTAGCTAGCTTAGCAAAAAAAACCTTGAGGTATAAAGTAGCATTTTCCTATTTCCTATATAAATCAATCTTTTAGTAACTCTCTTAAAACCATATGTTTTTTTTAAAAAAAAAAAATCTTTCCACTCCTATTTTTACATCATGCTAGTTAGTTGAGCACAAAGCAGTGGGAAAAGCCATGACTGTCGGGAGAAAGTTAGCATTTTTGTATATAGATAACATCTAATAAGTTAAACCAAATTTTTTCCCACTTTAGTTTTTACACACAGCTAGCTAGCTTAGCACAGGTGAGCCCGCCAATCCCCAGATTCAGTTTTTGCATACAGTAACAAGCTTTAAATGGGCGTGCTCGCCTAGCTGTTTGTGCCCATGTCTCTATGCTAAGGTAAGCACAGACACAAAGCGCTCTGTCTGCTCCTCTCTCTAAAATTATTTACAGAAGTCTTCCTCTGATGAGTCAAAGATAAATTTGTCGTGTTTGTTTTTTATGTTGTTAATACTGGGAGCTCAGTGGATCAGTGCGGGGGGAGCAAAAAGCCAAGGGGAGCGGGCTGGAAAGGAGTGTAAGAACTGCTGCTGCTGTTAGCGCCCATCAGGCTGTTGGTCACTGTGAGTTGTGCTTGGACATTTTTCTTTCAGGTCCGTCTGCTGGTTTCTGGTCGTCTAGCCTCAGATCCAGTGCCTTATGTTTGCTGAGTTTACTTCTCTGTGCTCGGAGAAACACTGCTGTATAGAACAAAAACGTGCTGTTTGGATTTGATTTTCTATGTGGTTAAATAAATAAACCTTTGGCTCAGATGCTGCCTCTGGAGCTGTTGGTTGATTTTTGGGTGAATAAAATTTCAGAATCTTTTAGCATATTATTAGCATATCGTAGTAACTATTGCAATGCACAACAAACTTCAGTGAAGTGCCGTGAAGAACTGATTCAGGTCATCAAACTTTATTATTAGACAAAGATAACATGAGTAAGTACAATGTGCAGTTTTTAAATGATGCAATGAAATCTCTGATTAACTACCTTGTTTTGAAAAGCTTAGCTCAATGTCACTTTTGGGCAGGCTCAACTTGAGAACAAGGGAACGTAGGAGTTTCATACTAAAAATCTCAGTGACCATAACCTCAATGCCAAGTTTTCTGAAATTCTTGTGACAGTGATAAGTCAAGGAGGAAGTCACCGCAAACATTACCATTTCCTTTTCTCTGTCTGCCACAAGGCTAACTCAGAGGCCTGCTTTGAATCCACCCTGAGGCCACTGACTGCATGCCGTCACAAACGCTGAAATAACCCCACACATTGTTTAATCTCTACTCTGGAGACCTCAACATGCCAATAACAGGTCACAGTTACAGCGCCACCCAGTGGAAGCAGGATGATATGTATCATAACATCATCCGGTTAACATGAAACAAACATGACGGTCTCTGCACACCATGTGCAGTAACAGGCATACACTAGTTGTTTATTTATAGCTTCCCTTTCTCCGTGACTAAAACGTGATGTGGTTAGGGAACGTCCGTAAATTGCAACTATCAAAAAAACAAAAAACTTATTGGTGAGGCCCTCCACAACAGTCCCAGCTTCTCATATGGCCCCTTTGTAGAATTGATTGATCACCTCTGATCTAAAGGGTGTAGAGTTCATGAAAATGCTTTTAAACCATATTTCAGCTCCTAGGTGTCTGCAGTTAGCACTGCTGCCTCACACCAACAAGGCTCAAATCCTGGGGTGTGTCTGGGTACTCTGGTTTACTTCCAGTCTAAACACTTGCAGTGACTGGTTTGGTTAACTAGTGAATCTAAATTGCGTGTGGGTGTCTAGCACAGTCTGAATAGTTGTCACTCTCTGTTCCGCTCCTCACCCCCAAATGGTCACAGCAGATGGCTGTCCCTCCCCAAGCCTGCTGGTCTCTTCCTGTTAAAAGAGAGTTTTTCCTTCCCATTGTCACAAAGCGTTTGTGGTGATATGATTGTGGGGGTTTCCTCTGTGTTGTTGTAGGGTCTTTATCTTTTTTGTGAATAAAACTTGAATTGAGTTGTGTTAGCCTCGAGTCTGTAAGGTGTTTACAAACAAAGACACACACGGAGCATTCCTGGTTCAGGAAGCATCAGTTTATTCTGATTGTAAATGTACGGGTGTTAAAATATTCTCGCTGCCTCTGAATTCAGCCGAGCGTGTTCAGCCTGACGCACGCACACACACACACAACGCAATGCACTTTATTTTTAAACACTTCACAACATTGCTTGCTATTGAATGCAGTCCGGTACATATAGGCTGATGTTTCTTTGTTTTTCTTAAATGTTTTTTTATTTAAAGTTTTAATATGTCTGCTGTTTGGCAGGCCGGCCATGAAATGTTGAGGTTATAACGCTTGAGCGTGCGCCGGCTCCAAGATGCGGCTGGGTAGTCGCCTTTGGTCAGGTGGGTCTTAGTCGTCCAGGAAGAAATAGTTCCCACTCTTCTTCTGTTCCGTGTCCTGCAGAGAGATGAGGCAGAGGTCAAAGGTCGGACTGATTCCTCCTCACTGACATCACCGTTTGGATTTTTCTGTCTACCCCCCTACATAAAGATTTCCATGTAGTGCAGCAGCATATATAATGCTGGGAGGGCTACACTTTCTAATTATTATCTCTAAATAACCCCACAGCTGAGTGGACGACTGCAGCTCAGCACAGTAAAAGCTCTTAAGTGATCACATGTAACGGTAGAAGAGCCTTCAGTGAAACCGGAGGAGCACTGTGAGGCTTCCTCGGGTTTGAACAGATTAAGAGAAAATACTAAATGCCTCTGAGCGGGTCAAGAGATTAGAACCGTCTGCTCAAATCCAAGGCTTTGGGCAAAAACAGTGAATCGTAAAAAACGTTTGCTTGAAGGGGCGGAGCTAAAAGTCCTCAGTCTCTGCAAACTTGCACGTCGCCTTGAAGCCGGCAACTGATTGCCTGAGAACATTCCAGGGTCCAGTTGCCTAGGTAACTCTCTAACACTTTTACTACCAGGTTGTATGTCGGTCAGCGGTGTTCTTCGCTCTCATTGGCTCGCCTGTAAGTTGAGTCAAGTCTATTTTGGTTCCCACCCTCCTCGTTGCACCAGCTGTTATTTCGTCGAAAGTCACTGACTTTATGATCTCTGGTTGCCCTGTCGCTTCCAGCGTGTACGCAGCTTCATCTTTATCACATATGTCATCCTGTTGCCTAGCAACCACCTTCCAGTGGGCTAAAATGACCCATTTGGAGTATTTATGCACCGCAACACTTTATAACAGCATCGCATCGGTTTAATTTCAACAAAACTTGTTGATACAAAACTTGTTATGCATGACATATGTCATCCTGTTGCCTGGCAACAATGGACTAAAACACAGCAAATCACACTGCAGCATGAGTATGTGCAACCAAGATAAATTAGGATTCTTTTGACCTGAAAAGCTAATGGTCTCCAAGAAATAAAAACATGGAGCTGGAAATGAGCCTGAACCTAAATATATTCATTAAAAATATATTTATAATATATAATAATGCTTTCCCTCTCTATAGTGTACTGGTTTAGATTTGTATTTTAGTTTCTTTGATTTATTTTTTAACAAATGGGTTTTATTTGTTAGATCAGCTTTAAAGAAACGTCCTTTGGGTTGAATCAGGAATGTTGTAAATCAAAATAAATAGAGTTTATGGATCTACCCGCTGCATCTTTGTCATGTAAGACTCTCAGATCTGAAGAAAACTGATTTCCGCCTGGCTGAAGCACGGCACCAATCACAGCTGGACTCTGCTGTGTGGAGCTCTGTGCATCCCTGACACCTGTGAGGCAGGGCACAGGTCACGATGAAATCACTACAGCTCTGTATCATTTATACCGGTGTTGACGGCCTGTGTCACCACTGACATAAAACCTCCACATCACCCCGGAGGAGGAGGAGAAGCCTCACACTGGTGCCCCTCAGTACGATCATTGAGCGTCTGCACTGACGTCACTAAAGCGCCGATAAAAACAACTACAATCATAAACTGCGTCAGCAAACTGGCTGCAGCGGCACCTGTGACAGGTTACCAAAATCAGGAAAGGCACGACTGGCTGAAACCACATCCAGAAGTTACTTTTTAATATTATTAGTTCAGTGCTGCATTTTCGTGTCAAGAGTCCGTCCGTGTGTGACGGTCAGTGTGTTTAAATAAAGATTCAAATAAACATGGTTGTCGTGGCGTTACCTTGATGGAGTTGAGTTTGTTGATCCTCGGCCTGAAATTGTTCGGATCTCTCCTGAATGTGATCTCCAGCAGCGACAGGAAGCGATTCATCCCAGCCAGCAGACTCTGAGGCCTGAAAAAACAAACATCACGTTACCGTGGCGGCGGCCGGCGAGCTGACGAAGCAGCTCAGACTCGGCGGTTCATCTTACGTGTTGGCTGAAGTCTTCTTGGAGGGAAGCCCGTCAAACACAATGACTCTGTCTGCCAGGTAGGTCGCCATGATGAAGTCGTGCTCCACCACGAATGCTGTCTTCTTGGCGTGGAGGATGTACCTGCGAATAAAAGACGTGTCACAACAGCGCCACACACGGGCAGAGACACACGACAACAACGAGGCCTTCTAATTAGACCGTTTCAGGTCATCCAATGTGGAAGTTCTCCTTCTTAATTACATATTTTGAGACATGACAGACACTTCTTACCATCTTCCACCGCTGCAAAGATTAACCATTCAAATAACAAAAATACTGTTGAGCTGTAAATCATGCAAAGCTACTCACAGAGTCCAAGAATGAAGCTGAAACGAGGAGATTACCTGAAATATGATTATTAAGACGCGCTCTCGTCTGACTTTGTATCAAAGTAAAACTGAAAAGAAATCCTGAGTTTTAAGCCGCTCGCTGTGGATTCGTTGACGCTTGTGTTTGAGGATAAACAGGAAGGGAGCTGCTTGAGGAGCAGGGAGAGGAGCGCATACCTCTTGATGACTCTGGCGGCCATCAATCGCTGCTCGGAGTCCAGGTAGGCAGAGGGCTCATCGATGAGGTACACGTCGGCCGGTTTTCCCAAACAGAGTGTGAGGGCGACTCTCTGCAGCTCACCTCCAGACAGGTTCTGCACCTGTGGGCGGAGCAGGCAGCTTCATCACCCCGTCTTCATCGTATCTCATTAGAAAACGCTTTCTACCCTCCAGTCGGCTCAAAAAGTCTCCTTACATTTTATTTTAATTATGTTTAAATTGAGTCTGATGACACACAAGTAACAAAATAAAATGGAAAAAGATGGATCGGCGCCTTATCCAGGACAAAGATCAGGTTAGTGTGTTTGTGTGTACCTCTTTAGACATCTTTGCGGGGATCAAAAATTACAACGTTACTCTACTTGTGGTCACTTATGAGGACAAAGGGCCTGTCCTCGCGAGTTCGAGGGCATTTTTGAGACTCCAAATGTGGTTTTAGTGTCAGGGTTACAGTGAGGCTGATGGTTAGGGTAAGCGGCTAGGCTAGCATTAGGTTAGTTAGAGGGCCGCTAATTGTTTGTCTCTCTCTTACATCCTGGTCGATGATGCTCTCGATCTGCATCGGCTTCATGACGTCGGTGATGAACTGCGGGTGCGTGTAGGCGTCTCTGATCTTCTCGTGCAGCAGAGCTCGGACGCTGCCCTGAAAACGTAAAACACACGACTCCATCAGAGTCCGGACCTTGGTCGCTGCAGATTGTTCATATCATGAAAACCAATGGTAAAAGTCTGGTTCAACTTTATTTAAACTTTTTGGACTCTGAACCCTGGATTTCTGTAAATTCAGTTTGCTGGCTAAAATCAATCAGCAGGCTGAAAGCTGTGAAACAGACGGATGGATGATCCTGTCATGGGTCCGCGGTTAGAAAACGAGAGCTGACCTTGAACTTGGGGCTGATGGTCTGAGGCTTGTAGCTGACGTTCAGGATGGGAATCTCGCCTGAAAGACAGAGCTCAGGGTCAGTGGGTGCGTCCGGTTTAATCTGGCTTCATCTGAGAGAGAGACTCACCTCCTCCGTCAGGCCTGAGCCCACCGGCCAACATCCTGATGAAGGTCGTCTTCCCTGTGCCTGGAAACACACATACACACTTTCAGACGTGCACGTGTCAGCTTTTCCATTTTTGTGGGAAACAGTCAGAGGAAACAAGATGATCCATATTTTTATTTCATATTTTCATTATTTTCCTTTAGTGCCATTTTAAATAAGCTCGTCTGAGCTACGAGATTTTTCATATTTTGCAACTTTTCTTCTCTGAAATTAAATTAGATTTTTTAAAATTGGCTTGGAAATGATAAAATGTGTGACGACCTCCAAAGCTGCTTCTGAATGAAACATCTGAAAAGTTCAATTTAAAACCATTTTTAAACCTTGACCACAGAGATTTAGACTAAAACCCTCAGCGCAGCTCACCATTCTCTCCCAGCATCACCATGATCTCAGAGTCTGTAAACTCTCCTCCTTTGATGTCCAGCGTGAACTCGCCCATCGTCTTCGACATGTCCGGATACTGAACAACAACAAACAATCAAACATTCAACAAAGAAGCAACTCGGCTCATTTTCTTATGCTGCTTTTTTGCAAATTGTGCAAAACAATATTTATTTTCATTTTCTTGCACTTCATAAAAATTTGTGTATCTCAATAATGAACGGAGTTGGTTCTGTGGTGAGCTTTAAAGGGTTAATGACGACATTTCTAAACCCACAAGATCGAAAAAGCTCAAGAAAGAAAAGGAATCGGCAGATAGAACTACAGCCCCGTGTGACGAAGCTTTTATTTTGAAAAGAAAAACGTGACAGGAAATGAAAGTGGTAGGGGAAGAAAAACAAAAAGAAAACAACGAGCCAAAGCAAATGAGCAGTGATTCAGATTAGGCACATAAACTGACCTGGTAATGCCTGAGTCTCTTCACCTCCTCCTCATTGGCCGTCTCGGCCACCTTAAAGACCAGCGACGTCTCGCGAAACCTGAGATTCTCCGTGGGGACGTAACCGTCCAGGAAGATGTTGATACCTGGAGGAAGGATGCAGGAAGATCAGGACATGCTTTGGGTCCACTTAGCGACAGTGATATTAAGGACAAATACCACCACTTGTTTCTTCACACTTTTACAGAGGTGTGGTGCAATAACGTTTTTACCCTCTCTGACGCTGAAGGGCATGGTAACGACTCCATAGGCGCTCGGGACTCCGTACAGACAGCAGATGAAGTCCGACAGGTAGTCCAGCACGCTCAGATCGTGCTCCACCACGATGATGTACCTGCAACGCAACATCACGTTTAAGAGCGGCGGTGCACCTCCAGGGATCAAACCGAAGCTTTGAAGTGACAAACCTGTCGGGGGTGATGAGTGAGCGGATGGTGATGGCGGCCTTCAGCCTCTGTTTAACATCCAGGTAACTGGACGGCTCGTCAAACATGAAACTGCAGCAGAAGAGCAGAAACAAGAGGACGGCGGTCAGTCTGCGAGCTCGGCTCTCAGCTCACAGACAAAACAATACGTTTGTTAAATATTAAATAAATAAGCTTTCGGGCTGTTTCCTCACATGTCAGCTCTCTGGATGCAGACGACAGCACAGGCGAACCTCTGCAGCTCTCCTCCGGACAGATCCTCCACGTTCCTCTCCCGCAGGTGACTCAGATCTGCAGACAAACACAGAGATGCAATTAGAAATGTTGTTTATACGCAGCATTAAAAAAAATCCAAAACAGGGGGAAGATCCCTGGGATTAAACGCTTATTTTAAGAATAGGAATAGTTTCTGCACACAAACTGGTTTATCAGCTCCACATGGAGACACACGCTTTCTTTAAATATGACCCATGAAATAACTGTTCCAATGAACTGTGATGTGTCACATGGTCCTCACAAGAGTAAATAGTGTGTATCAACCTAAAAATACTAACACACGACTGTGTTTGTTCATAACGGCACTAAACTGTTTACAGTCGGCGTGTAAACGCTTCCACATGAAGGTTCTTCAGCTTGTAATTAAGAGAGTGTGTGTGTGTGTGTGTGTGTGTGTGTGTACCAAGTTGTTCGCAGACAAGGTCCTGCGTGTCTGTGTCATCTTTCCTGCTCAGGATGGCCCCTACTGACCCCTGTAGGTGGAGACGAAGAATTACAACCGGCCATCAGAGTGAACGCCCATGCCAACAGGAACGATATATTCAAGGAAAAGTCGGGAACCTTGACGGTCTTTGGGATCTGGTCGACGTACTGCGGCTTCACGATGGCCCGCAGATCGTCCTCCAGGATTTTGGTGAAGTAGTTCTGCAGCTCGGACCCTCTGAAGTAGGTCAGGATCTCCTGCCAGTCTGGAGGATTCTGGGATTTCAAAGTACGGATCATTAAAACACAAAGCTTCTGACAACGAGGTCAATGTGTGGAAATGATCCCCGAGGGTGAAAAACTCCGGGGTCTGTATCAGATCCAGGATGATGAACTGAGTGTCTGCACTGAGGCCTAGTATAAGAAAAAGAAGCATTACTTTGAATGTGAATCATGCAAAGCTGGGCTGACAGAGTCCATGTAACCATAACTTGGTGTGTTGTCCTGCACAAGTTAATCTGTTCGTAGCTTTTCAAGCAAAAAGGTTTACTGTGTAAATGTCCCTGAATTCTGTTCCTTGCAACACATCTGTCTTATGGAACAGATGTGCAAATTGTTCTACTTTACTAACAGGAAATATGGGATTTGTAAGGATACTTAAAGAAAATTAATAACAAAAGTGCAAAAATTCCAGAAAAGTATCAGTAAGTTGTGGGTTTACAATGAATGAGCTGAACAACATGAGTAAATGAGTCAAACTGAATTACAAGGGAGGAGTTTTGTTTTTAAATGGAACTTTAGAACCTAGTCAAGAATTTCCTTTTGGCTTTGGCTAAAGATCTCAACCATCGTTAGCAGTGAGAAGAGCATGTGATAAAGTTACCCGACCGGTCGGTGGAGCCACACCATAATCTTTCCTGTTGCTAAACTGATGGCCAGCAAACCAAAAATGGCAACTCCACCCAAACATTATCTTCTCAGGCCAGCAGCAACATGACTGCTGGCCTGTGTGTGTGTGTGTGTCGTGTGAACACTCACATCAAACTTCCCCAGGTTTGGTTTCTGTTTTCCGGCCAGAATTTTCAGAGCTGTGGACTTGCCGATACCGTTGGTCCCCACCAGCCCCAAAACCTCACCAGGCCGGGGGATAGGCAGCCTGCACCACACACACACACACACACACAATAAACATCTTGACCCACCATAACAGACTTTAACATAAGCTAATAATCAAATAATTCCATCATTTAGTGTCAGCTTTCCTTTCAGGCGTTTCTGCTTTGGTTTGACGGCTTTTCTTTGCTGCCATGGTTCTAAAATGACTTCATTGCTGAGCAATAATAATAATAATAATAATAATAATAATAAGCTCTTACTTAAACCCAAAGTCTTAGCAGTGTTTCTTTACATAGATGGGCTACCTGGGTATGTTTGTGCACTTCAGAGACTTGAAGACTGATTAGTCACGTCCCATGCTTTTATTTTGAAAGTCCAATTGCTGGTATTGAACTAGAGCTGTGCTTCCTGTCATGATGTGACGATCCTCGATGTCATTCAGCTGCCTCTCTTTAATCAGGAATTACTCTGTCCAGCTCCATGAGCCCGTTAGGGTCCGCTTACATAAAATGACGTAAATGTCATCATCAGACGGTTAAGACGAGGGTCTGTGCGGAGGTTTGAATGCCGCTGTTTCAGTGACCACGCAACAACTTCTCAGGAATGACTACATGGACAGCGGCTGTCCAGCTGTTCGCGTCTGCAACAGAGTACATTCAGAGTACGGTGGTCGTACCGACTCGGACAGCACCATCACAGCCCTGGGTTAGGACCTCAGTGGAGAGGCAGCTGATTATTGCTTTTATTTAAAGCATAAAAATCATTAACAGTTGAAACATTATTTTTATTATTCTCCCCTCCAAGGTCAACCTCTCACTTTTTAAAGGTCCTCTTGTTGTACGGAGAATGAGCATCAACTTGTCTGGATCATCAGAGCTGGCTCTCCAGCTATGAGCAGTAGCAGGTTCTCAGTTGAGGAGTCCAGCTTCCACCCAGAGGGCATCAAGTGAGAAGAACACTCACAGGGTTGTAGACCTGAGTGGACGTAAACTTCTGTTTGCTGTTGAGATCATCACGTGGAGCTCGATCCCCTTTCACGGATCCTAAATCTCCTCCAGGAAATCAAAAGAGCGATCTTCACTTTTGATTTCATCTCCATGGAGTAGTAAAGTCACAGGGAGATTCTTTTATTTGTGTGAACAAAACAACTTGTTTCTCCTCAGATCCCGCGAGATGTTCCAACAGAAGTCCGTGTTGGACAGTGCTGCAAAACCACACCTGACCTGATGTGCAGCCTCCAGGCTGAGAATCTGTGGACCCTCCAAACAAAAACTGAAAGCACTATCTATTAACCAGTGTTAACTAAAATTAGAATCATAGCACATGGTGGAGGTGATCAGAACTAAAGGAGCGATCCAAGAATAACAGCTACGCTGGAACTTAATTCCGACCTGTTTCCCGAGGTTTTTGTAACATGTCAGAGGAAACACTGCTCAGCTGTGAAGTGAAGGTAAACAGACTGGAGGTTTATCGCCGTACCGGTGCAGTTTGAAGGAGTTGGCGCAGTATCTGTGTGTGGTTTCCTTCTCCAGGTTGCTGGGAAGGTTGACGATTGACAGTGCTCCAAACGGACATTTCTGCAAGGAGAAAAAGTCACGAAACAAACTTCAAACACACTTAATAGTTTAAACGTTGTGACTAAAAGCAGTGTGAAAAGATCATTTCCTGCTAGATATTCAGGCGCCAAGATTACCTTGATGCAGATGCCACAGCCTATGCACAGAGACTCTGAGATCCACACTATCTTACTCTGTGGAGTCACCTCAATACACAGTTTACCTGAAGACACACACGGTTCACATTTAGACACATTTCTCTCTCACTCTAGTTTGTGCCGTCGGTGCGATCATCTCCACACTCACCCATACGGACGACCGGGCAGCTCTTCTTGCACTCCTGACGGCATTTCTTAGGTTTGCATTTGTCATGGTTGACGATGGCGATCCTGGTGTTCTTATCCGCCATGATTGAGGGCGGGAATGATGGACGTTAGCACCTGTGGAGCTGGAGAAACAAATTGATATCTGAGGAGCTGGTTTTGAGAAAATGTGATTAAACATACAAAGAGAAACAGGAACAATTTATAAACTGAGTCATGATTAGCATGCAGCTGCCCAAAACCATCCAAAAAGTCTCTAAATGTAGAGTGCAGCAGTCGGGGTCAAACCTGCGTCCACATGCACAATGTTAACTCTGCTGAAACAACACATTCGCTTCTGAACAAACGCTCTTTTTATTCAACAATAGAGTGCTGCAAATCTCCTGCCTAAACCAGCCTCTGGCTGCATTTAATACCTGCTGTCTTTAATTCTGATCCTGGTCTGGTGTGTGCGTATCTAGGCCCCCAGGAGTCGGGCCCATTTGAGCTTTGCAGTCTTTTGTAAAGGAAGAGCGAGCCACACCAGGGTCCATTTAAAATTCTGCCCTTTCATCGTTGCTTCACGTCTATACGCATGTGTCTGGAAACACCCGCTTCAACTCATTTAAACAATCTGTGCCCAACTTTCTTTTTAGTTCGGCATTAATTTAACTCATAATATTAATTATTTTAACTAGCTGTATTCTAGCATGACGGGCGGTGGCGACGAGCTTCAAACTAGGGATTTCTCCTCCAATAACGTGCTGTTCTGTGGTGCATACATATGCCGAATTAATAAACTACCCATAAACACTTTAAAAATGTCTTGGAATTATAATCTCATGACTGTCTGCTACGGTGAGTGATGTGAAACATCATAACTTGGGAGATTTACGAATGGAATTTGGCGCATGATCCTGTCGTTAAAAGAAAACGCAATATTTTCAGGGCCCGTCTCTCAGCAATACGAGCAAACAGGGGAAACCACACTGACTGACTCCCAACAAGCTGTAACCATACAATTACACTGGATAACGGACCAATTATAAAGAGACGCTTGTCCGGTGGAAGCGAAGTTTAGGATGTTCATTGGAGAATGCTAACGGCTAGCTTCACGATATTAGCAGCGGAGGCCCAGCAGCCTGACATCTGCTCGTTTCCGTGGCAATAAAAACGTCAAAAGCAATAAAATCCAGGGCGATGAGTACGCAAACTCACCCTTATCCGGCTCCAGCTACCCGGTTAAGAAGGGATTAGAAGAGAAGACACGTTTAGAGACAAAAACTGTGGGGTGAAACTTCTGTTTTTTTCCAGCAACGTGTTCCTCTCACGGGCTGGAAGCCGGCAGGAAAGATGGCGGGAGTATCGCAGTTAGCATGCGACTGCTTGCTCAGCGCTGGTGACGTGTATAAGAAGCGACGCTGAGGCGCAAAAAAGTGGGAGATTCGAAGTGTGTAAATAGAAGCGGATTTAAACTATTTTGGACGTGCAGCCGTATTTCTGATGCACTGACACGACACCCAGGAGACCTGTACTAACGCGTCTGTGAGTCGGCTTCAATAACTGTGGCGTAGATTGAGTTTTAGTGGTTTTGAGAGCGTTTAGAGTTGAGAAGTGTCAGCTGCTGGCGACTAGCTAGTCATAAATAACTCCCAAATAAGTCACTTTTTAGCTGAAATGGATGCTCTAGCTTTGTCATTTAGACGAAGAAGTTTACCAAAAGGTCCCCTTATTCCTAAACAGAACTTACATTTTCTGTATTTTCTATTAAATGGAAATAGAGCTCGAAATGTTTAAAATATGCATAAAGGTTTGTGTCTGGTTATAATCTAGTTAAAATAGATGGTGCCAGTAGTGATATTTATAAGCCGAACTTTACCTAATGGTCAGCTTATTATTAAAATACAGTTATATTTGCTTCGTTGATTAAGTTGTATTTACTAAGTGTGAATAAACCTTAAAATATTGAAAACATGAATAGACGTTGGTGTTAGGTTACTATTTTCCATCAGAGTGTGCTGAACTTGTGTTTTTTTGTTTTAAAGTATGGCGACACCGAGCAAGACACCACCTGGAGCTGACCCGAAGCAGCTGGAGCGGACCGGGACGGTTCGGGAGATTGGCTCCCAGGCGGTGTGGTCCCTCTCTTCCTGTAAACCTGGTAACTACTCCCTCAGACACCCCCCCCCCCCCCCCCCCCCCCCCCCCCCCCCCTGCGTACAGTCTGCTGTGTGAACAGATGACTGTAAACATCTTTCAGAGGTGGACACAATCTCAGAAATTGTGTTATTTTTCTCCTTGGAGCTGTTCATATGCATATCCACAGCGTAGTAAGCAGTTTGCCTTACTGCACAATTGCCACGTTTGGATCAATTTCAGAGGCCGTTGGGATCAATTCTAGTCTGATGTGTTTGCCCTCTACGTGTCCAGGTTTTGGAGTGGATCAGCTAAGGGATGACAACCTGGAGACCTACTGGCAGTCGGATGGGTCGCAGCCTCACCTGGTCAACATACAGTTCAGGTAACGTTTTCCAGCTTCTGTACAAGAGAAGTTAAAGTAAACCTGGAAAATGTACATTATCTTTAACTGGAAGGTGTTGTTAATTTTATTTGTGTGTGCTGCTGCTGACAGAACCTTACTCTTTTGCTTTGTTATTAATTCACTTTCTTTAATATGTGACCTGTGGAGTAAAGGAGGAGGACGACAGTGAAGATGTTGTGCATTTATGCTGATTATAAGTCAGACGAGAGCTACACCCCGAGTAAGATCTCGGTGCGAGTCGGCAACAACTTCCACAATCTTCAAGAAATCAGGGTAAAGCTTAGTGTATATATCTCAATAAAATAAATAATTAATAAAAATAATCTGGTTTTCATCCGGAGGTTTCAAAATCACTCAGACCCTCCTCTTCCTCGTCTTCCCCTCTGCAGCAGCTAGAGATGGTGGAGCCCAGTGGATGGATTCACATCTCTCTCATGAATCCGGTAAGAATTAATATTTTTCCAACCTTTAAATGCTGCATTTTACCAAAACCGGACTCTGTAACATCCTGCTCTGTGGTCTCTGTTTGCATTTCTGATTGTCTCTGGTCGACAGGGTGTAACTGAATGTAAAGCCTTCGGTCAGGGGACAGAATCCAGTCATTTACTCACTGTGGAACATTTGAAGGCTTACCATCTGTATAAACGTGTAGATGTAAATACTGACACCCAGCCACAGTGACTGAAAGACGGAGAGAGACATTTGTGCCCTTATTTTGCACTCTTTCCCATAATGGCCAAAGTCAGGGAACTAAAGTCTCTGTGCAGTTAACTACTACACCTACTGATTAGAAAGTGTGCAGATTTCCCTCCACAGGCGACTGTTCAGTGTTTTTATAGAAGGAAACATCAGCACTGAACCATTTAATCGCTGCCTTCATTGTCTGTGCTGAGCCGACGTGTAGTTGGCATTCAAAGGAGGTGCAGGTTGTAGAAGTAAGCTTTCAGAAGGGTTTGTGGTTATGATGATGTACAGCGAATAACAAAATTATTCGTTCATTGTGCAATGACCATTCATTCGTTAATTCATACCTTCTTTGCACTTTTTATCCACTTTAAAGTTTATTGTGTTGTTTTGTTGTGTTTAGTGCTGAAAGGGGACAGTTTTCTAATTTCACTGTATTTTTGTACAAAGTGTGACTGTGCGATGACAATAAGAGTTATCTTATCTTAAAATCAAGAGAACAAAGAAGTTCTGTAGAAAACGTGTAAACAAACAAACAAAATTAAAAATGACTGAATTCATGTTTTTGTACCTAAACCTGAGCCGGAACTCAGACATAACATTCGACCACCATAAAGTTTTTATGAATGCAAGCAAATAAATGTAATTTGGAATCTTGATTCAAAAATAATATTGTGCTTTACACTTTTATTCTTTGTTTTTGGTAAGACAGTAAATTTAAAAAAATGCATGGATAACAGCAAAAATTATTTATTAGCATTAAAAATGAACGTTTTATGAGCACTGGGTGCTTCTGCTTGTACACATTGGGGACTTAACCATTACAGAAACATAAAAAGTGAATTTGATAATTATAAATACTGTTCATTTAGGGTGGCATAAACCTTACACTGGCCGGTGGTCTGATAAATTTGTGAAGCACTGTTCCTGCAAAAATAGACGTAATGCAAAAAAATAAGGCGGCGCTTCTCCACCTAAGACTTGTGGGGGTCTTTACATGCCACCAAGTGCAGTAACCTACAGCTCTTATGATTGGACAGTGACTATACACTTGAGTGTTTTGTTTGTTTGTTTTTCAACTCAGGGGAGCTAGAGATACGTTTTTGTAAATTCTTGTGTTTAAATATGGTTAAAAATGTTTAAAATGTCACTACAACATTAACAGAATGTAAAAGAAAAGCATGTGCTGTTATGTAATACCAGTTTGTACCACAAGATGGAGCAGTGAGTCAGTCTAATGAATGCAGCGCTCCCCAATCTCTGGGCCACCGACTGGAGAGTTGAGGCTCAGGTGTGAAATTTATGGTTTTCATCATTTTTATGGTTAACTCTGTTTCTATGGGTCTTTTCCCATGTGTTATGTATAAATCTTTTTTTGGTAATGGTACTGCTTTTATTTTGTTGTATTTATCTGCGACACCTTAAAGGCCGGTCCGTGGCACAGAAAAGGTTGGGGACTGCTGCTGTAATATTTATTTAAGCAGCACATTCTTCTCAATGGGAGCACCTAAAACAGAAACATTGAACTTAAACAGAACAGCACCTGCTGGTAAAACGCTGCCTCCCGGTGGTTAAAGTTGTAGTTAAAATTAGCAGATTATAAGTATCTTTAAAGAAGTGGCTTGATGCTCGGTCACTCTGTGTGTGTGCGTTTGTGTGTTTTTCAGCGCACAAACGAGCCCATCAGCACATTCATGATCCAGATCGCCGTGCTGGCCAACCACCAGAACGGGAGAGACACGCACATGAGGCAGATCAAAGTTTACACACCCGTGGAGGAGAGCTCGATCGGCAAGTTCCCACGATGCACCACGGTCGACTTTATGATGTACCGGACCATCAGGTGATCTGGACGTGACCCAGGAACCCCAACAGACTTATATCTGGAGCTGGATCATTATCAATGAGAGGAACATCAGTGAAGCTGCCAGTGTTGAATATTTAAAGATGTTCAGTCAGAGTCATAGACCCAGTCAGTGTTGGTTTACATGCTTTAACAATGAGTTTCCACACAGAGTGAATGCTTTGATATGAATTTGGTTCCTAAATTTATCCTTTTTGTCTCTCGCAGTATAAAAAAACGTTTGTGCCTACACATTGTTTCCTGTTGTGGATTGTTAATAAAAAGGTAAAAATAAATGTTTCAAAAATCCAGAATGTGACTGTGTTCGTGTAGAAAACTATAACTTGATTCTGTAGCTGTGCTCAGTCTTATGCTTCTTGGTTTAGTCACAGATGTTGTTGCTTTACTTGAAGAAAATGAGGTTTGAAAACAGTAATACGTTGATGATGCAGGAAAATGTTCTATTCTGCTGATGTTGGACCTCACGTCGGCCTTTGATATGGTTGACCACCACTTTTCTGTGGCGGTTTCTAAGTGCAGGTCATCCTTCACTTCCCTTACCTATGGTGTGCCACAAGGTTCTGTATTGGGACCCTTATTGTTTCTAATATATCTACTTCCTTTTCAGCATATTTTGAGCCCCTTTGAGTAGGGCTGTGCGATATGACCAAAATCTCATATCCGGATATAAGAATTCTATCGATAACGATATAAATCACAAAAACATTTTCTGTAAATTATGTGAATCTCGGGCAGCTCGACTTGCGGAAAGTGTTTCCAGCTGCGCGTCGCGTACCTGGAGTCCAGTGTTTTAACCGATGCATGAAAGTATACATTTTTAGACATAAGTTGTAAAGGCTGCCGTTTTCTTTGTGAGTATTTATTACATGGCGTGCTGCGGGGAAAAGCCTGTTCTAACGTTTGAGTCTAAGGTTTATTTTTTAGCACCTGGCGGCTCTTTTTTACTTCTCATCTGTAAATAATCTGCTCTTTCACGTGATTCAGTTTATTTTGAAAAGTCTGAACAGGATCTTGGGCTTTATTGTGAAAGGTTTATGTGGTACATAAACAAGCGGACACGCGATGCTGTTACTGTCATTGTTGCTAACTACAACGCATAAAAACAGGCGCTTGTCCGTCCGTAGTGTGGTTATATAAAATATAAGAGAAAGAGAGAACTTTAAGAAATTAATATAGCCACCACAGTGACCATCAAAACGATGAAAACATATTGCCGTAAACAGTTTATTTTACGACGCCACGAAACAA